CGTCAACTCCTAGGAGAATTGGATTGGAATAGAGATCACAGTCAATCACACAGATAAAGTTTAAAGAGACAAGGTACTGGTATGATTTAATTTTAACTTTGGATTAAAGAAATGCTGGAAATCCTCCACTGAGGAATCCCTCCTCCAGAGCTACCCACCAGCAGCCAGCTGACCCAGTAGCCTGTGCTTTTTTTCCACTCAAGTCTGCTGCGGGCTCCAGTCAGCCAGCAATGATGTGGTGTGCATAGGCTGGCAGGAGAAATTGCCTCATGAGAAAAATCGGGGCGCTATGCTTGGAAGAACCCTGACGTTCAACAAACAAGAGCTCCAAAAGAGGTTTATGTTTAATATCATTGCCAATGAGCTCACCTTCTACCTGGTAGCTGAGACAGAGGCTGACATGAATAGGGGGTCCAGAGCATCTGGCAGATCTGCAGCTTCAGTCAGACTAAAGAGAGCACTGATGCCCCGAGAAACCTTTCTTCAGTCAGTCATAGTCTCCGCTCTTCTCCAGCTGACTTCAGCAGCTACAGTCAGCACCTGCTCTGAGCAAGGAAGTCCTCATCTCCTTCACACTCTAGCCAGCCCACATCCAGCCTGCCTTGTCCACCAGTGCACCTCGGGAGTATCAACACTTGCACCAACACCCCTTGACCTGAGAAACAACACTGTCATCAATGGGCTTCAAGTCACCTGTCACCAAATATTGGTCCTCAGTCAACTACACCTTTAACTCCAGCTTCTCTCAGTACTGCAATTCCATCTCCACACAAAGCATCACCAGAGACTCCAGAGAAAGTGAGGAGAACTATGTCCCTATGCAGAACCCAAAGTCTTCATCCCCTGTATCCAATGGCACTAACAGTCCAGATGCAAAAAAGAGTACTGGCAATGTGAATTACATAGCCCTGGACTTTCAGCCGGTCTCCCAGAGCCCTCATTGCAAGCCATCCACATCATCTGTCACATCAGATGAGAAAGGAGAATATGTCCAAGTGGATAAAGAAAAGACCCGGCCCCTACAAAAGACCATACAGGAATGGGCAAAGATGTGTCAGTCCTCAAGACCCTCCAAAGATGCCAAGCTATGGTAAGGATGGCCATCCCTGACACCTCCTCTCCTTTGTGACGTTTGTTCAAAAGATGTATGTATGTCCTTTATGTATGGTGTGGCCACACATGTGTGTATGAAGTGTGATCATAAATGTGTGACTGTTAACAAAAGAATGCTATTGTGTTGTCTTTAAATCATTAATTGTACAGGTTACTTAGGGGGGAATTTCTACTTCTATTTCTATGGAGGGTGAAGGGCTGGTATGGTACTAGGCTTCCAGAGTGGTAGGGTTTCATGGGGCAGGACTCCCTTAAGCAGTGGCGCAGGTGATCCAAATATTTGTTTTAATTTAAATTTGGTTGGTTAGAAATGGTAGTGTTCACAGTCAACCACTTTTAAAAGGAAAAAAGAGGAATATGATATAGAAATGATACTTCATATTGGAATGGATCCCCATTTGTTGATACTTTGGATTGGAATGGATCTTAATTTGTTGATACTAGTTAGGTTTTCTAGATATATAGATATTCATACCATTCAAAGACCTATGGGAGGGTTTTTCTTGACAGTGAGACACAACTGCTCCTGGCACACCAATTATATCTGAGAGGAAGATGGGCATCCAAGAAACTCGTTATAGAGTTTGCCTTTGACATGGCAAGACCAGCCATTTGGGCAAGAAGCTACTCTTGCCTGAACTATTTAACTGTTGCTTTATAAACTGGACATGCAGGACCCACAGGAAAATGCCTAAAGGGTTCCTGCTTCATGGAGGAGTACAAACTGCCA